GAAGGAAGATGGGGCAATCTACTTCTGTAGTGATACTGCCTTGGAAACCCAAGGAGGGGTCACTATGAGTCGGGTCCAACTCGACGGCAGTGAGTTTGGTTTATGCATGATTTGAAATATAAAAATAACTTTAAAAACTATCGCATAGACTATTATGCCAGATTATCATGTCATCTTAGAAAGAGGTTGTACTTGGGCATTGACACCCACCTGAGAAGAAAGTCAGGAAGGTGAGCAAGAGCGCAACGGTGAGCCTCTTCTCCATCCCGCCCAGGCTCCTTGGCGCCTGCTGCTGAATGAACGGCCAGGGACAGAGCCGGTGTGTGCAAGGAAGCCACGTGAGGCCGACGCTTGTTTATACTTTGACTAACAGGATGGAGGTGGTAGGAGGCGAAAGGCAGCTGGCTCTCACTTTGTAATATGCCCGTTAAATAGATTCCTCTGAAATTATGTAAGTTTTTATCCTGAGGAAGGAAATATCCTCTGTGAGATGATTTTCAGAGCTTGAATTAAAGAAAGCAGCATGTGATTTTTTTTAAAATTTATTTAAACAGGTATCTATCACAGTATTTTGAGTGTTTGTTTACCAGTAACTTTGGTTTTGTTCTGTTTCATTGAGAATGAATTCATAATCTCTTACATTTGCATTTTTATGACTTTTTTTTCCAAAGCCCATTCACCAATCTAATTTGACCCTCCCTATAACTGGAACTCTGGTAGCATAGTGGCTAAAGCACTTGACTGCTCACCAGAAGGCTGGCGGTTCAAACCCACCAGCCACTCCTCGGAAGGAAGGTTGGGCAATCCTACTTCCGTAGTGATACTGACTCGGAAACCCAAGGAGGGGTCGCTATGAGTCGGGGCCGACTCGACGGCACATAACAACAACAACAACATAACTGGAACTATAGCTCTGGTAGCATAGTGCCTAAGGCACTTGACTGCTAACCAGGAGGCTGGCGGTTCAAACCCACCAGCCACTCCTCGGAAGAAGGTTGGGCAATCTACTTCCATAGTGATACTGCCTAAGAAAGCCAAGGAGGGGTCGCTATGAGTTGGGTCCGACTCGAGGGCACATAACAACAACAACATAACTGAAGAGGAAGGCAGGAAAATTAGCAAAGAGCATGACTGGGGTCAGCAAAAAAGAGGAAGACCCTGAATGAGATGAATTGATGCAGTGGCTACAACGATGGGCTTAAACAAGGAATGATTATGAGCCTGGCACAGGACTGGGCAGTGTGTCGTTCGGTTGTACACAGGGTTGCTATGAGTCAGAATGGAGTCCACAGCACCTAACAACATAACACGATTGAGGTGGGTAGGAATTATCCAATTTTGGAGCCAGAAAAGCCACAGTTCACCTCCTGCCTTCACCCCGTTCTTAAAATATGCTATTGTTGTAAGGTGCCATCAAGTCAATTGCAACTCACAGCAACCGCATGTGACAGGGTGAAACTGTCCCATAGGTTTTTCCTGGCTGTAATCTTTATGAGGGCAGATACCAGCTCTTTCTCCCTTGGAGTCATTGGCTGGCTTCACACCACCAACCTTTTGGTTAACAGCCAAGCACGTAACAATTGCGCCATCAGGGTTCCTTTCCTGCCATGCAACCTTAGTAAATCATTTACCCTTCCTGAATGTCAGCTCCATCATATGTGAAAAAGAGATGGTTGTAACTGCCTGGGAAGTATGATTAGGTCGAGGGAGCCGGGAGGAACTTTATTGCAGATACTATTCACCCTTATCTACCTCTGTTTTACAAATAAGGACAGTGAGGTGCGGATGTGAAATCATGCTCGAGTTCACATGGTAACGAAATAGCGACCCCTCCTTGAGTTTCTGAGGCAGTATCATTACGGAAGTAGATTGCCCCATCTTCCTTCCGAGGAGTGGCTGGTGGGTTTGAACTTCTAGCCTTCTGGTTAGCAGTCAAGTGCCTTAGGCACCATGCTACCTGAGCTCCTTGAGTAATTTTAGAACTAATTATTTTAGGAAAATATAGTTGTCACATTAAACAACTTGGTTTTCTGTGTGTGTTACCAAGTTTTTTCATTCCTTTGCAAGGATCTCTGATTGCACAGTGCCTAAGGCATTTGACTACTAACCAGAAGGTTGGTGGTGTGAACTCACCAGCCACTCTGCAGAAGGACTGATAGGTCAATCTACTTCTGGAAACATTCACTGCCTCAGAAACCCAATGGGGGTCACTCAGAGTCAGGACTGGTCGATGGTAGTGAGTTTTCCTCTTTGTGGTCGACTCTAACACTAACAGTATTGTTTTGTTACATCAAATACACATCTTCTGTGGACCAGGGAAAAAACTCTCTACCCAGCTATAGATTTCTATTGCACCCAATGTAAATTTACTATCAAAGTAATTTTAAGTGAGTAATATGAGTCGGGGCCGACTCTATGGCACATAACAACAACAACAACAACAACAATTTGTTCCTATATGAGTACTGTCCAATAGAAACATAAGTCCCAGATGTAAACTTGTAAGTATATTAATTTAGACACAATTCTAAATTTTGTAGGAGCCACGTTAAAATTTAAAAAACCAGAGATAGGTGAGAAATGTTAATATTACAGTTTAATTAACCCAAACTATTATTTTGACCCAGAGGAAGAAATTACTCACAGGAAAGAAGTGGGAAATGAGATGTTACCTGCGGAGAATGTAACCAGTATCACAAAACAAAATGTGTATATGAACTGTTGAAGGTACCACAAATCTGCTTTGCAAAATTTCACTCAAATCACAGTAAGTTAAAAAAAAAAAAACATTACTAATAAGATATTTTACATTCTATTTTTGCACCAACTCTTTGAAATCCAGACTGTATTTCACACTTACACATTTGAAGTGCTCAATAGCACATATGCCTAACAGCTACCATATTGGACAGCGTGGTGTCTATTGCCACCACCCAAATCTAGACACTCTTACCAACTTCCTGCATTGGGCCTCCAACTGCTCTTCCAGATTCCCTCCCTAGGGATTCTCTTCAGTCCATTTTCCATGCACCAGTAATGATGATCTTCTTAAAAAATAGAAGATGTAAATTGGACCTTGTCACTTCCCTGCTTAAGAATCCTTCAGTGTTGGACCCAACACAAGATCAGACTCCTTACCATATGCTACAAGACCCTTGGTCATCTGCCCCTGCCGCCCTCTCCAATCCACTCGGGCAAGTGTCCTCCAGCTCACTCTAATGCAGCCACACTCAGGTACTGTCAACTGAAGCTCTTTTTCACCTCAGGACCTTTGTATGTGTTCTTCACTTTTCCAGTGACTAAATCCTTCTCCTTCTTCAGATTCCAATTTGAAATTTCTCTTGCTTAGACAGCCCTTCTCAGACCCACCTATTTAATGAAGGTCCCCCTACCACCACCACCACCACCATTTTTTCCCATCTCATAGCATTCACCAAACCAAAAACCAAAACTCGTTGCCATCAAGTTGATTCCAATAGATAGTGACCCCGTAGGACCGGATAGAACCACCCCATAGGGTGGTTTATTACTGTCTTATCCTATTAAAACAGTTTCCAAGACTCTAATATTTACAGAAGCAGATGGCCATATCTTTCTTCCACAGAGTGGTTGGTGGGTTCAAACCACTGACCTCCTGGTTAGCAACAGAATGCTTATCCGCTGCGCCACCAGCGTTCCTTATAACATTCACTATTGTATGAAAATACTGTTTACTTTGTTATCTCTTTCTTCCACTAGACTGTACTCTCTAAATAAGTTTGTATTACTTTTATAATTTTTTAAAAAAGTGAATGTCAACATCCAGCAGACTGCAGAGGTGATACTGGAGAGAGCTGGGTTCTGTATTCCATCCTGGGATGCTATTTTATGCTCGCAGGTGGACAGGATCCTTCAGGTGTGGTATCATTCAAATGCCCTTCAGTATGGCTTCTGGGGATATAGTACCAAAAGAGGGAACTGTAAGAAAGCTGAAAGTGCAAAGTCATCTTGTCATATCACTCTGGTGAGGAAAAATCTCAACCCCCCTTTTCCCACTTGAAAGCAGCAGCAGCCTGTGCAATTAGGCTAGTCAGCAGAGCTTAGTAGAAGACACAGTTCCCAACATATCCACAAGGTGGCAGAGTAGAGAGCAGAGCCAGGGACAACCAAGGTAGAGGATGGGGACTTGGGGAAGAAACTCAATGTCACCATATTAACTATCGGAGGTGGAGACAGGATGGCACTACTGTGGCTAAGGCCATTTCTCTATCATTCTAACTAATGTACAATTTGAAAGTCTTCATGAGAGGTTGTAGCCTAGGAAAGAGGCATTATCAGTTTGACAATACCCACATTCGCAGCACCGTAACACAACCAATACATAATTAACATTTTCATTTGTGTGAGTTCCCATCTCTTTTTTAAAAGGAATTCTCCCATCACACAGATATTTTAAGGATCAGTAGAGAAGAATGGGCTGGCCATAGACACGTGCTATAAAGTCAGCCCAGTAGACTTCTCAACACCATCACACTGAATATTGTTTTAACAGGATAAGATGCTTAAGGTTGGGGTACAGTTATTTCTCATTCTGTGGGCCAAAGAAACTTCAGAGGCAAGAAAAATTTCTTTCTTTTTTTTTTTCAAACTTCAGAAAGATGCTAAATCTGTCCCAACCGAGAAAATTATAATGCATCCACAATTTTCAGTCTCAGGGTTAATTAAATATGGTCTGCTTATTCAAGGGAGCTCTGGAGGCATAGTGCCTAAGACATTTGACTGCTAACCAGAAGGCTGGTGGTTCAAACCCTCCAGCCACTCCTCGGAAGGAAGGTGGGCAATCTACTTCCATAGTGATACCACCTCAGAAACCCAAGGAGGGGTCACTATGAGTTGAATCTACTCAATGGCAGTGAGTATTCCTTTTCATAGCTGTTTTCAAGTTTTTTATTGTCTACCTTTCCCACTAGTCTATAATATAATATTTTTACAGTGTGCATGTAATTCTTCTGTAATTTTTCAAAGTAAAGATAATAATTCCATACACTGCATGTGCACACAGACATACACATCTCATTAACTTACAGGCATACTATGCAACATGGGATGTTCTTTTCATTTAAACAGGTGTTGTTGTTGTTATGTGCAATTGAGTCAGACCCGACTCATAGCAACCCCTCCTTGGGTTTCCGAGGCAGTATCACTACGGAAGTTGATTGCCCCATCTTCCTTCTGAGGAGTGGCTGGTGGGTTTGAACCGCCAGTCTTCTGGTTAGCAGTTAAGTG